CAAGCCCAGAAGATGAAAAGGGGCCAAGCAGCATAGGTATTGTGTAGCAGTGGCACTTACAGAGAGGAACTTTTTTGTACTGCTCTGAAGATGTTTTTGAGGGCAGAGGCGTGGACAGGCATTACAGGAAGAACTCGTGAGGTAATTAGCACTGTACCATCTGCAGGGACTATTCTGCAGGCAAGCACTAGAAAGGAAGCAAACTTCAGGGACCCAATGCAAAAGGGAGAAAAAGAGAAGACCAGGAGGGGCAGAGAGCATGTAACAAGTGAGGGAAAGAAGGGACAGAGAGATAGGAGCAAGATGTTAAAAGAAGGAAAAGGCAAAGGAGGAAACCATTCCTGTTCTAGGAGAAAAGCTGCCCTAGTTTAAAAGGTAAAGGGTTGACAGCTGTGTCTTTTTTGAAAAAGAACAGGGAAAACAGACAGTGAAGGGAAGGACAGTGGGAATACCCAGTGCTTCCTAAAACTGAATTACAGCAGCAGTCTTCAGGTAGTCCTTTCCATTTTGATGTTCCAGAAGAAAATTCTGGGCAGCTCAAAGTTTTGTCAGTAGCAAGACAGATACCTTCATTGCTTTCCTGGCTTCCCTGAAGGATGTTAGAGAAATTAAGTATTTCTACAGGCTATTTCATGGCTCATTGTTTTATCCTGTTGCTGATCTGTGCAGATATGTAGTTCAAAGCACTATATAAGCAGCTTCAATGCTTTGCACAAATGCTTCCCAGATCTACTTGTGGAAAACAGTTGAGCTGATTCCAAGAAAAGAATGCATTAGAGCTGAGAATGGCAAGACTCTTCTCACTCAGTGTCCGGACTTCAACAGCACCCATACAGTTTCTTGTCAGGCCATGTGTGTCTCACAGCCTCGAGTATACTCTCAAGGAAGCTGATGAACAACTATCTAGGACATTTCCCCACTCTTTAGTTACTGATGTCTGGAGGGGCTTTGTTTCTTAGTTTTGGGGCTTTCTTCAATTCCAACCTGACCTTCCCTTTCTGGGTCATAAATAGAAGGAACCGTTAGTGGTCTCTGTACCAGAATTTGTGAACTGCAGCCTTAGTCCGTAGCCCAAGCCAAGGAATGCCTGCTGCAAGTGTTGCAAGAAGATTTTGGACTGGAGGCCTGTTGTTACATTTAAGAATTGTCAAGCTTAAATCCTAACAGCTTTGCCAAAGACTGGGGAAAATGAATGTGGTTGTCTTAACACAGAGAAGAATATTGAACTCTGCTGGCTGCAGCCACTGTGAATTGATGGATTGATGAAACCAATTTCCCTACATAACAAGAAAGGGAATGTCTGCTTCCTATTCTCCCTCTCAGTTTCTATTCCTTTTTTAGTTCCATTTTCCACCTGCCCTCTTGTGTTCTAGTGGTCCTTGTATTGGTAGCTTTTTTGCTTGCCTTGTGTATGTGTAGGCCATGTCACTGAAGACCTTTGTACTTCAGGCTGGTTTTCTTTCTTCTTCAGCTCCTTAATCAAAATCTTCTCTCTCTTCTCTTTGCAGCCAGATACATGACAAGGTTCGTAGCCAGTACTGTTTAACCTTGGGTGGTACTGGAAATGTTTTGTCTATTTATGCTGTTAGGTTCTGATTAAAAATTACTGATGCACTCACCCTTTGCCTAAGGCTGGAAACGTTTTGAACTTGTTAGTTTCTCTGAGAGAGTGACTGCTGCTGAGTACTTTTGTGCTTTCTGTATTTGTAATGTTTTGGCCTCTGTGGTAGTTCACCCTCTGTAAGATGACACTGGATGCGTGGATTTCATCTGTTATAATGGAACTTCTCTAAAATAACGGAGTAGGCTCTTCACCCTCCTTACTTCTTCTGCTATTCAGAAAGTTCTGGATAGTACCAGCAGTTATGTCTGGAGTACCAGTACTGCTCTGAAGTTGAGTTCCTAGACTTTGAGTATCATCTCATGGAATCTTACAGCATCCAACCTACTCTGTGCTCAAGAAGCTCCTGTGGGTAAGTAGTGAGTCAGCACCACTTCCTGAAGCAGAATTATTGAGATGGTGACTGCTGCAAGGGAACCCAGTATGGTACTGCCTGAAGAGCTGTGCAGTGAAAAATGCCTGCTCAAGAGGTTTGGGCTGATCAGCTGTGATGTCTTCTTCAGAGGAGCAGGAGAACAGTGGAGACACATTATAGTCCTCAAGTTGTATTTTCATTCAAAGGCCTTTTCATTCCCTTTTCAGAAATCCATGTGTTGGCTTTACTTTCACCCATTTCTGTTTCCTCAGGTGGGGATGAGAAGTACAGAAAGGTTAATGGAATATATAAGAGTCAGAGAAGTGCTTTTTCTTCTCTTGATTCATCCACACATGTTGCAGAGGGTCCTGTGGACCTTCTGGTCATTCTGAGGGCTTCATAGACCAGGGTTTTGCTCTTCCAGTACTAGTGCTTTAGTGGATTAGTCTTGGGTTTAGGTTGTCTTTCGGTCTAGGCATTAGTCTTCCTGTTTTTTTCTGTTACCTATGTCTCATTTCATGTGCTGAGCAGGAGTGCCTTTTACCCAGGATTTTGCTGTTGCTTGAAGCTGCTTGAGAAAAATTAGAGGTTTGGGGATTTGGAGGTGGGGGGGAGAGGGATTTTTCCACTGTTCTTTCAACTCTGTGCTCCCCTCTTCTATCTGCAAAGGCAAAGGCTATTCCAACAAAGTAGCACTGGGTGGTGGTTCTCCTGTAGAACCAAATGAACAACAACAACAAAAAAATCCTTATGTTAAAATGAAAGTTCTTCTATTTTAATTTTTCCCATCCCTCTTCTTCTTTTACTTGGTGCCACCGAGGTGAGTTTGGCTCCATCTTCTTTACTCCCCCCACCAGGTTGTCACTACGCCCAGAGAATGTCCCCTGAGCGTTCACCACTCCAGTAAAGAAGCAGTCACAGCTCTCTCTGCCTCTCAGCATTATTGAAGGCCATGGACCACATGAGCTTCTTCATGGCCAATGTAGGCCTGGAAGCTGCAGGGTATCTATTTTGGAATTCACTTCTGTGTGTCACAGACTTGACAGAAACAATGTAAGACTCAGAAGTATCATCAAATGTGAATGGCAGCATAGAGCGCCTGGTCTATGACTCTTCCAAAGATCTGATTTCTCCTTAGGAAGATTCTGAAATCAGAATCATTAGTGAGAATAACTTAGTTATCCCCTAGAATAACCACCTTCTAGGGGAGACAGGATTTAGTGCTCCTCTAGTGATCCGGGCTGACTTTGGTTGTGTAATAAAACCCGCTCGCTGTGAGGAGGCTCTAGCTGTTGCTTTTTGTTCTTAATAGAAATTTTGCAAGAAAAACTAGTGTCTCTATATTTTTACATATGGCTGTCATGGTATTTGCAATAACAATATAGAAAAGTCTTGGCCTGACCTGCAGGAGCTCTTTCCGTTTTCAATCTTAAGATGGGGAAAAGAAGAATACTGGCAACATGCTTTTTCCTATACAACTATACATGTCAATCTTGCAGCAGCTGCTGTTACATCTCTTCCCTTTGGAAGCTGCAGAAGCTCAACTGAAATGCTCCCTGTGGATGGCACTTGTGCATATCAGCATTTAGCTGACGATCTGCACATGTATTGGCTGATCAACTTTGCCCATACCCTCGTTGCAATCTCCACTGTGCTTTCTTGGTATTTTTCAGTTGTCCAGTTACAATCCAGCTGGTGAGTTACAGCTTGTTTTGCACTACCATTACTGTTCATTGCTCAGCAATGAGAATGCTACAGCTTGGCTGACCAAGAGGTTCTCTTCACTAAAAATCAACCTCCCAACCAAGATGTCTCTATTTGAAATGATATTTTTAGGTTTTATTGCATTGTCTGTGGAGTTTAAGAATGTTTTAGGAGTTTTAACGGTCACATTTTGGTAATATTACCCAAACTCTGTTTTAAGTGTAAATCTTAACTCTGTGTTCTGTATAATTCTAGGTACGACAGGAACTGGATGAAAAAATCACTAGAGAACTTCAACAAGGTAGTGTGCCATTATGTTAGGAGTATTTTTAAGGAAAACGGTGACTATTCTGTTTCTAAGACTATTTCTAACTCTTGACTGCTCTCCAGCCATTTTTTTCAAGTTCTTGTGCTAAGCAGAGGGGTTTTTTTCTGCCAGCCTTCCAGCTGAGACTTGAATGACAAAACCTCCTGCTTACCAAAATGTTGCCTACAATGTTGTGCAGTTGCCTGGAAAAAAACAAGCACAAAGAAACACTCAGTTTAAGCTGAAGTTGCCCTTCACTAGAGTTGATCTCAAGCCAAACATCAAAGCAGCTGCGAGATAAGATTTTTATAAGCCTCAGCCATCACTTTCCCTGCCACGTACACCGTGGCATTCAGCACTAAACCGTACCGTACCCCTTCTTTCCTGTTAGTTCTTGAGTTTTGCTGGGATTCTGGGATTCAGAGCTTGTCTTGGGAGCTTAGGTGGGGCCGTCTTTTCTGGAAGAAGCAAGAAGATCAGGGACAAAAGATAATCTGTCTTTAGGAAAAGATTATTCCGTGCTGTTTTGGCAAGCATCAGTTCAGTGCTTGCCATACGTCGCATCAAACACGCTGTAGAATTTGAGGCCAGGTGTCCAAAGAGGAAATCCACCTGTTCCATGGTAATTTCTTCCTCCCCAGTTACTGCTTTGCAGTGCCCGGTGCTGTGTAGTAGTAGCGTGCCAATAAATCACTGCTTTGAACAGAGAAGGAAAGCAAAGACTTCAGGTTGAAGAGGTCTCCAGG